AAAACTCTGGGATACCACTGAGGGACTGGAAATCAGGAAGGGTTGAGGACAAATCTGCATTTTAGAAATCCCATCCAGGCAGCATGGCAAGGAGACCTGGCTATTGCTATTATTTAGTTGGGAGGTGACAAGGGCCAGAATAAGGCAGTGGCCATGAGACATGGCCCCAAGCTGTGGATTTGAGAGTAAGCAAGAAAGCCCAATTGACTGGATTCAGTGATTGATTAGATATAGGGCCCGATGAAAGAGTCAAAAGTTAACACCCAGGTAGAAGATACAAAGGCCTCAACCATGGCAGTAGCCATGGGGTTGGAAAAGGAAGGACAGATATGAGAGTATGAAGGAGAATCTACTGGATTTGATGACGGGTTTTGGATGAGGGGGGTGAGAGAGGGGAAGTGAATCTTCCTATGTTCTCAGATCTCTGTCTTGGGTAACAAGGTCAGTGAGGCAGAGAACATGGGGAGAAAAGCAAGTGTGAAAGGCTTTGGACAAGTTACCTACTATCCCTGAGCCTCAATTTGTCCATCTGTAAAATGACAATAGAGATATCCAGCTCTTAGGGTTCTCATGAGAATTAAATAACTTGGGAAATTGCAAGGCCTAGAGTAGATGCTCAAAAAACACTCTTGACTGATAATAGCAGTGCTCACTCATGTGCCAAACACTCAATCCTCACATAACCCTATGAAGTAGATGTAATTATTATCTCTATTTTACCAACGTGGGAACTGAAACACAGAGATGTGAAGAAACTTGACCAAAGGCAATCAGTCAGTAAGTAGCAGAGCCAGGTTTAGAACCCAGGCAGTCTAGCTCCAGGGTCTACATTCCTAACCACTTCAGTATCCCTTACTGCCTTGGAACCCATAACTGGACTCACGGGCAGGAGAGATGGACAGACCTGAGCCAACAGTTCATTCCAACGGCAGTTTTTATTTGGAAATGTGCCTCCACAATTTGGTGGCAGCCTGGGGGCAGGAGGCCCCTGGCTTGTTTGCTTACTGTCTTTCCCCGCCCAAGGCATCAGGTCCTTTGGGCTAAAGCACAGGGCCGAGTTCTCGAGGATCAACAGCCCAGACTGCCGCCATGTCTGGGGCTGGGAGCTGGTGTGAAAGATGAATCAGGTTCCATCCTGGACTGTTTTATGTTTGGAGGGCCTGGGCCCCTGGCAGCAGGACCTCAGCTCCCTCTCCTAGCAGGGGCTGGTGTCACCCACAGGCCAGCTGTGGCTAGGTCCTGGTGGACACAACACTGGGAGGAACGAGGGGCTAGGAGAGGCTAATTTTCTGGTGCTGGATCCAGTTTATCTTCCTGAGTGGTGGAAGCCAGGGCTGGAGCCTCATCACCTCCATTGAGGGACTTTTGCTGCTCACCGCTGGTGGGCGAGGAGGTCCTGCTGCCCTGGGATCCCCAACGGGTCAGACGCTTTAGGGAGGAGTCACGGCGGGCAAGCAGAGGGGGCTGGAAGCCTGTGAAGGAGCTGCTGGTGACGGGCCGCTTATCTGGCAGAGAGAATGCAGGAAGTGAGGAGGAAGTTGCCCATGCGAAGAGGAGAGATAAGGGGCCTTGCCTCAGCCCTGGGGGAGAGAACTCCTGACTTTCAGTCCTACCTGTGCTGGCCCTGGAGACCTGGAGGTGTCCCTTGCTCCCTCCCTTCTCCCTTCCAACTCCAGAGAAAGCTCCAGAGTCTACCCCTTCTCACCTCCAGGCTCAATTGGATGCATGAGCCGGTTCACCTGGACGTTCCAGTGTTTCACATTGGTGCTGGCCTGGCGCAGCTTCCGCTGGGCAGCCTGTGGGGGCAGGGCCAGTGGGGAGTGGGTCAGAACCACCATCCATGGCAGGGGGTCTTGATTTTTTCAGGTTCACAGACCCCTTAAAATCTGACGAAGGCTACTGATCAGCTCCTCAGAAAAATCCACGCATGTTCATAAAGAGTTACATACACGAACAGAATTTGCCTCCAATAATTTCAGGGGACTTGTGGACCCCCAAACAGTAAAAAAGATCATAATGATAGTTCCTATTTATTGAGCAGCTAAGATGTGTTAAGCACATTTATTATCTTATTGAACTTACAGAGCAGAAATTAATAACAAACAAGTTCAAAAGAGGTCAAGTGACTTGCCCAGGGACATACATTGAGTTCTAAACCACTGGACTACACCATCTCTCCAAGACCTAATGCAAGAACCTCTGCTCAACTTTCACAGAGAGACTAGCTCTGGGGTGGGGCTAGGGGTGGGGGAATTGTAGAGGAACTTTCCCTTTCTGTGTTACATATTTCTTTTTTTTTTTTTGACAGAGTCTCACTCTCTTGCCTAGGCTAGAGTGCTGTGACGTCAGCCTAGCTCACAGCAACCTCAAACTCCTGGGCTCAAGCAATCCTACTGCCTCGGCCTCCTGGGTAGCTGGGACTACAGGCACGTGCCACCATGCCCAGTTAGTTTTTTCTATTTTTAGTTGTTTGGCTAATTTCTTGCCATTTATAGTAGAGACAGGGTCTCGCTCTTGCTCAGGCTGGTCTCCAACTCCTGAACTCAAGCAATCCTCCCGCCTCGGCCTCCCAGAGTGCTAGGATTACAGGTGTGAGCCACCGCGCCTGGCCCTAATAAACATTTGTTAAATGAATGAATGGGCTTGGGTTTGAATCTTAGCTGCTCCAGCACTTTTTAGCCATGTGACACCCAGTCGTTCACTTCAGAATTTATTCATGCATATATTCATTCAACAAATATTTGTTGAATGTCTTCTAAGAGCCAAGCACTGTGCTAGGCTTTGGGGACATAACTGTCCTTAAGGAACTCAAGCATTTAGTTATGGAGGCTGTTACATGAAGTAGGGTGGAAAGCATGGCCAGTGTGAGGCCTACAGGAACAAAAACGAGGGAGCTGCAAGTAGATCTAGGAGGCAGAGGCATAGTAAGCTCTCCTGGGCCAGATCATCATGGGTCTCATCTGCCACATATGGTAATGTGAACTTGTCCGTGAGCCAGGGTCAAAACTCTAGGATAGGGCTGGATGCAGTGGCTCATGCCTGTGATCTCAGCACTTTGGGAGGCTGAGACTGGAGGATCACTTGAGGCCAGGAATTCCAGACCAGCCTGGGCAACATTGAGAGACCCTATCTCTACAAAAAATTTAAAAATTAGCCAGGTGTGGCAGTGCACGCCTATAGTCCCAGCTACCTGGGAGGCTGAGGTGGGAGGATCCCTTGAGCCCAGGAGTTCGAGGTTGCAGTGAGCTATGATGGCGCCACTGCACTCCAGCCCAGTCAACAGAACAAGACCCTATCTCTACAAACAACAACTACAACAACAAAACTCTGGGATACGGGCCGGCGCGGTGGCTCACGCCTGTAATCCTAGCACTCTGGGAGGCCGAGGCGGGCGGATTGTTTGAGCTCAGGAGTTCTAGACCAGCCTGAGCAAGAG